TGTTTGGTTATCTGGAAGTTTGCAGCCTGTTGTATGACCATCTTATCAGACATGATGAACTTTGGAAGCAAGTTCTCACAAAGACTGTGTCTCTGGGCTCTGTCCTGAAATCCATCAGAGATGAGAAACTTTTCAGGTTTAAGGAGCTAATAAACAGCATCAGAGATTTGGTTGAGAAAAGATCTGAATTTTTTGACACGTTTTTAACGCATTCATATTCTGCTGTAAAAAAAGAAGATCCAGCCTACATTTCACTAAAAACGACAGAATGCTACAAAAAGTATGTTGGAGACGCAGAACCAAATGATCAACTCCAGAAAACCTTCCACAAACTTAAACAAAAACTGGCTGTCACTTCTCCGGGAGTACTTTCATGTCTCGAAAGATGCACTAGATCAGACACCAAGGACATTGCTGTATGGTGGAGAGAAATCTGCCAACACAACCATTCTACTACACATGCCTTACTCAACTACGTTCTGGCCAATATCATGCTGATAAATATGAAAGAACCTCCCTCCAGCTCCGACTACCAAAGCAGCTTTACAGAGAAAATGCCATTGGCTCCTGAGATGCAACCCGAGTTTCACATGTTAGCTCTGCTGTTGTGTTGGCCTAAAGATGGTGAAGACGAATTGGCCTCTGACCTCCCTCATTTAATCCAAAATATTCTACATTCCTATGAACAAGAATATAAGTCACTCTTTCAGTCAAGGTACCTTCGACCCATATTTTTTCTTGGACCGGGTCAGGGTCTGAACAGACTTGTTCACAGACGCAACCTTGAGATCTTGTGGACTCAAGATGCACTGAAAGCCTCAAACACAAACTGGAGGAACGACGATATTTTCACTGATCCAACAGTCCAAGGCAAACTTCTCAGGGTTAAAGGGGTGGTGAGAAATTACAGGCTGTATGCAACATTTGGCGGCACAGAGATCAAGTTGAATGTTAACCGAAAAGACAGCCTCTGGAACTCAGGCCATGTGTTCTTTTATCTTGGATTTACAATCGGAGGTCCTGTTGCTTACAACGTTCACAGAAGAACTGAGGGTAAGAAAATTAAACTATTAAAATCTTTTCCCTTAACAAATTAAATGCTTTCCTCTTTGAGTATTACATTTTTTCATATTATAATGACAATAGTTGTTTTAATACTGCTAGGTTGTTAATTTTACATGACCAAATGGTGTTTCCTCCATTTTTCTGCGTTAAAGATGCTAAGATTAAAAAGCATGTTTTTTATGTACTTATATCATATAGAAATCTCGCACAAGTTAAAGTAATGTTAAAATTGTGCTAGAATTATTGAATTTTGTGAGCTAGCTCTTTAAACGTTAACTTTGCTTTAAGAAGAACCTTCTGAGAGACTTCTGAAAGCTTTTGGCAATGAAATGGTAAGTCTCTGTTTCTGTGGATTTATTTCTACTCATTTATTGCATCTTACAATAATTGTAAAAATTTTACAATTTCAATGACCATGACAATGTAAAAATATCTTGTACAACAGGACTCCAGTCCGTGGAC